AAAAACCAAAAAAAAAAAAAAAAAAAAGGGAAAGGAAACATGCCATCTTCCTGCTCCACACACACAGAGAATACCTGTCAGTGAGGGAAGTCACCTCCTATGTAAGTGGCTTTCACATCAACTTCCTGCCAAGATGGTCTTGGAAGATACTCTCCCTCCACTCTCCAGTCAGCTAGATCATCATTTAAAGCTCCTTTACTATCATCTCTTTGCCTCTGGACTAACTGACTTCCATGTATGACGAGACCAAGGCTTTGCACAAGAGACAGACAGATACACACTTATTCACAAGAAGAAAGCAGACTTAGGAAAGGAAGTGAGAAGCTTCATCTGTTAGGCACACTGCTGTTCCCTCCTTAGCTAAGTGTTACTCTTCTAGGCCTGCAAGGGCTGGCCATGGGAACCAGTAACCCTGATGCTGGAGGAGCCTTTCTTGCTTTGATGCGCATTATAGAGATCCCTCGGCTGGCATCACTTTGAGACCAGCAATCTCAGTGAGGCAGAGGACGCTAATAACTGAGGGGGGGGGGTGTCACCCAAACGATCCAGGTTGAGTTCTTAAGGAAGAAGCACAACTATGATAAAAAGCACAGGGAGACATGGGTCTATAGAGCAAATCTGTAACTACAAAAGACGGAGACAAGACTGGCACCTCCAGCAAATCATATGTACACATACACACACACACACACACACACACACACACACACACACACACACACACACACAGCATGCATACTGTTTAAGCCACACATTCAGTAATCACTCCATCACCCAGCTAGTGTGACAGACCATTGCTTTTCTGCCAATCACAGCCTTAGCCTTAACATTTTAATGTTCCCTCTTCACATATAGGATTTATTAAAACACATAGACACGGAATTACCACCACTTCATGCAAACATTCTTTTTTTTTTTTTCAGCAAAGATCTTCTCATGACAGTCTTTCAAACAAAACAAAACAAAACGCCCACAAGCCCAAATCCTTGGGAAGTCTCCAGGGTGCCTAAACCCAGGTGCTTTCAGGCAGTACGATGTCTAGCTTACTGCCGTGTGTCACTGTATGTCGGGAACACCGTGTGTTAAATTCCTGGTGAGCCCCTGTCCCGGCCTTATAGGTTCTTCAATGATGTTTCCCTTCCTTGTATTTTAATTTTAACTCTATAGAGGATGTCCATTCCTGGGGCTGGAGAGATGGCTCAATTGTTACGAGCACTCCAGAGGACCTCAGTTTGATTCCCAGCACCCACATGGGTAACTCACAACGGTAACCCCTGTTCTAGCTTGCCCAGGCATCAGGCATGCAAGTGGTGCACAGACACATATGCAGGCAAAATATCCATACACATCAAACAAATAAACAGGGAAGTCCAAAGAAGAATGTCCACTTTGTGAGTGTGTTGTATAAGTGTTTGTACCTGGTGTGTGTGATGGTCTAACTGTCTGTGCGCATGTGTATAGTAGACCATAGGTCAATGACAGGTGTTTTTATCTATTCCTCTCCACCTCGTTCTGTGAGACAGGGCTGCCTAATGAACCTGGAGCTCACCTAGGGAGTCCCTGAGGTCCATCTGTCACTGCTCTCCAGTACCAGAGTAACAAAAGTATGCCATGTCCATTCTTTGTAAAATTAAGGAGAGAACATCCAAAGTATTAAAAGTTGAATACTTATGGCTGATGAGTGGACCTTCATAGAAATAAAACACTGAGTGGCAAAAGACAGAGAACAATTCATGCACAGCCAAATTAGTTCAACTGTGACAAGAGCCCGGGTGCGTGGGAAACGGCAGGGAGCTCTTCCTGCACTCCTGACATCTGTCACTGGATTAAACAGGTCAGGCGTTATTTTGCTTCCATATAAAAGTAACTGGTGACATTTTCAAGGGTAAAGTGGCAGGGTCTGGTCACATGTCTTAAGGCATACTTAAGTGCGCAGGCCTTGTATCCCGAAGGGCTGATACCGCAGTTCCCAGATATGTCTGTTTTGGAATTCAGCTCGTTGTAGCATTCGCTTGTGCCAAAGTCTGAGTCTGGAAGTCAAACAAAAAAGTGTTAGCTGCACTGAATGTTCAATCCTTTGCATTAGAATAGGTCATGAATGTGGTGGTATTGTGTTCCCCAAAATATTGTGTACTCTAATAAATTTATCTGGGGTCAGAGAACAGACGGCCACTAAATACAAAGGCTAGAAAATGGTGGCACTCACACCTTTAATCCTAGCATTCCAGAGATAGAAATCCCTCTGGATCTCTGTGAGTTCAAGGCCACATTGGAAATAGCCAAGCATGGTGACACGCCTTTAATCCCAGAAAGCCAGCCTTTAATCCCAGAGAGTGGTGGTAGAAAGCAGAAAGATATATAAGGCGTGAGGACCAGAAACTAGAGGCTTTTGGCTGGTTAAGATTTTGGCTGGTTAAGCATTCAAGCTTTGAAGCAGCAATTCAGCTGAGAGCCATTGGGATGAAGACACAGAAGCTTCCAGTCTGAGGAAACAGGACCAGCTGAGGAATTGGCAAGGTGAGATAGCTGTGGCTTGTTCTGTCTCTCTGATCTATCAGCATGGACCCCAATAACTCGCCTCCGGTTTGATTTTATTAATAAGAACTTTTAAGATTCCTGCTACACATGAATGCTTTCAAAATTCTGAAATGGTTCAGAGTATACTGCACAAAATACAAGCATCACATAAAACTGAAAATAAAGGCATATGGACGAAGGCACAAAACCATTTCAAACATGATGCCTAACGTGTAATGCTAATATCCCCATATATGTAAGCAAGAAAGGCAGTTTTTTAAACAAATAATTGACTTACTGGTGGATAAAGGTGGGCCTTTTATTTGCATAAATGTCTTCTCACCAAACCGTTCACCGACTACATTCACCTCTGATTTTTCTAGCTTCAATTCTCCTAAGACCCAAACTACCTAGACAACAGTTTCTATGTTCAACCTCCATCCACTCTACTCTTTTGAAACCTCTGACTGGGACTTTTGACAACCGCATTGCCTGGTGGGAGGAAAGTGGCCCGTCACAACAGCAGCTGGTGCGGTCACTAGGCACTCAATCGGAGTTGCCTAGAGACGCCACTGAACCAAAGTTAATGGTTTATTCTATCTCAGAAGTCATTTGCCAAGTTTGTTGTGGGTAAGAAATGCGGATTTTGAGCTTGGTGGGGGCAGCAAACTGTTGCTTATGGACCAGAGAGCAGGCAGAATCTGAGTATTTCATAGCTGCAGGGACACCATTAGACCCTCCACAACACTGTTGGCTTCTTCCCAGCTTCCTCCTGAGAGTAAACCTGGGCAAGATAGGAGATGAGCGTATGGAGAGATGGCTTTGGTTGCGTCATGGCTCCACATCTGCCACATCAAAGCACGCAGCTGAAAAACCCGGGACGCCCACGGGTGAGACACATGGGAACAACCTTCTCCAAATTCTAACCGAAGCCCAATGAATATCAATTATTAACAAACAGCAAAGGAATCCAGACAACGGGCCTCGCCTTTGAGGTCTGGCGGAGTACAGCCGCTGGTGGCCTCTGCAGGCTGCACAGTGCAGAGACAAGGCCTTTTCAACAGCAGCCCTGGAGGAGGGAAGGCAGGGGCAGCAACCTTCAACCAAAGCTATGACTCTGTGATTTCACTAGGAATAACAGAACAAAGACGGCTGGCTGCCTTAACACAACAGTGCAAGTGTCTTGACATACACATGGGAAAATATCACAAAGGATGCAATCTACAAGAAAAAAAAAAAGTACCAGAAATAGACGGGCAGGAGAGATAGTAAAGAATTCGGTTTGATTCCCAACACTCATGCACATAAAATGAAAATACATAAGTCCCTCAAAAGCACCAAAAATAGAAATGGAAGTGATCCTAGATGAATAGATATAAGTATATATTTGAGTTTTGAGGTCTGTGTGATGATGCACCACTTAGTTCATTGTTCCAAGAAACCCAGAGAACACTAAACATAAGTTCACAGTTGGGTCATGCAAATCAGACCTGAGCTCAATCCTCAGAACCTACCTGCAGTGGGAAGAGGGAACTGGATCCTGAAAGCTGTTCTCTGAACCCCACGTGACACACGCACACCTGTATGAATACACCACACGCACGCACACATGCACGCACGTACTCACGCACGCTATGATGACAGAAAAACAAAACCAAAAAAAAAAAAATCAACTTATCAACCAACCAACCAAACAAAAACTAAAGAAAGAGAAAAGTAGTGCATTGTGGGTTCTGATTTCTCAGAAAACATGGAGACCCCATGGCTGTGGAGTCACTAGTAACTGGCAATAAAATCACTCTCCTTTCTCTACTCAGAAGAGGGATTTTCACTCAGGATCCTTTCAAGTATTCTGGGTCCAGGGAGGGCATTTCTTGAATGAATTGCTCAATGTTCTTCCTTGGACTTTGAAATGTATCACCCGTCATCTATTTCTTAACTGGGTCTGGTGGTTCAGATTTGTAACCTCAGCTACTTGGGGAGCTGAGGCAGGAGAATCACAAAGTCAATGCCTTTCTGGGATGTAGAGTGAGTTCAAGGCTAGCCCAGGAAACTTAGCAAGCAACGACTTCAAAAATAATGAGCAGAAAGGGGAGTGGGGGCTGGGGATGCCAGTGGTGGAGAGCAGAGACCACGTGTGGCAGGCGCTGTCTTGAACGCAATTCTCAGGACCGCAGACAAAACCACACAAACCCATCTACTTCTTTCCAGCACCCAGAAAAAGCTTAAGCGGAAAAGCCAAATGGTTGAAAGTACCACTGCCGAATATATCGCGGCACTGTTTTGCTCCATTCTGACACGAGCCGTTGACACAGATCCACTGGCTGTTTGCACACGGGTACCCGTTGTGAACGAAGAAGTCTTCCTCACACAGCTCGGACGTGCCGTTGCAGTACTCCGGGAGGTCACACTCCCCAGTGGCAGGCCTGCACACTTGCCCTTTCGTCTTCACCTGATGGGGTGAAGTGAATCACACTCAATGAGGCAGCAGAGAAGCAGAGAGGCGCTCTACAAACTCTTCCTGTGCATCCTGTAGGTCATGCAGAAATGCATGCTCTTACTGACCCACCAGCACGGATAGGTGACCTCTTAAGGATCCGCCCCAGATGAAGAGCTGCAGGCAATTAATGGCTGCTGAGAGAGGGGGAGTCAGCCTGCCCCAGGGATGGATGTGCCACCTAACGGATTGTCCAACGCCAAGTGGTCTGCCCTGACAATATACATACAAACAACAATAAATGAACTCAGCATGTTGCGTGTATATATTTATTAATTTACGTGTAAATATAGATGTAACAACAATAATTAAATAAAAGAAGCCATGAATTAGAAAGAGGGTGGGATGGTTGTGGGGGGAGTTGGAGGGAGAAGGGAGAAATGATCTAAATATATTATATATATATATATATGAAATGTAAAAATAATAAAAACACACTATTAAACTAAAATGTGCTGCTTGTAGCACATTTTCACTATAAATGACATATAATAGAAACAATGTTTCTATTTCAGCCATTTCATACAACCCATACATTCTTGTTTTAATTTTTAAGGAATGAATGTTTGGAATATTATAGAAATATTAAAACTTAAAATTTCATGGTTGAAAGATTTTGCTAAGAATTTTCTGACATTTCTGGTGGAAAATGTATGCAAATAGAATGAAAGACTTAAAATTGTTTTCTTAAGAATGGAAATGTCTGGAGACTTCCATTGGGTCCCTCCCCTTGGAGCTCAGGGAATCCCCGAGAAGGCAGAGAGGGAGGATTGTAGGAGCCAGAGGGGTGGAGGGCACCAGAAGAGCGGGGCCCATGGAATCAATCGGGGCTCAACTAAGCATGGCTCCTGTGGGCTCACAGAGACTGAAGCTGTAATCACAGACGGCGTGGGTCTGCACTGGGTCCTTTGCATATACGTCACGGTTGTTAGCTTTGGTGGGAGTAGTGGGGTCTCTGACTGTTTTGCCTGCTCTTGGGACCCCTTTCTTCCCGCTGGGTTGCCTTGCCCTACGCTGATATGAGGGTTTGGGCCTGGTCTTATTGTATCTTGTTACAATGCCGTATTTGGTTGGGATCCCCATGAGACCTGCCCTTTTCTGAAGGGAAATGGAAGAGGAGCAGATCTGGGGGGAGGGGAAGTGTGTGTGTGTGTGTGTGTGTGTGTGTGTGTGTGTGTGTGTGTGTGTTGGGAGTGGGGACTGGGAGGAATGGAGGGAGGGGAAACTTCGGGCAGGGTGTATTGCATGAGAGAAAAATAAAAAAAGAAATATAGTAAATTTGGAAAAAATTGCAAGTTAATTTTGAAAATGATAATAAGTAACACTTGTAATATAAAAACAAACCATTGACAAATGTAAAAAAAAGAATACAAATGTCAACACTCTTTAAAAGAAAAAGCTTGGGTCTGAAGAGATGGCTCAGTGGTTATGGTTAAGAGCACTGGCTGTTTGTCCAGAGAACCCAAGTTCAGAGGCCAGCACCCACAGGACAGCTTACAACCATCTGTTATCCAGTCTCAGGAGATTCTACACTCTTTTCTGGCCTCTGTGGGACCAGGTACGCATATGGTACTCAGACAAAACACCCATACACATAAAAATTAAGAAAAAAAATCTTTTTAAAAAAGTAAAAAGAAAGAAAAGGCTCTTACATGACAATTATCACAGCACGGTCCCTTAGCACAAGCTGAATTGTCTGACAGCCCACAGGTCTTAGGATTGCAGCATGGTGGAGGGTTATCGTCACAGCCCTGAAAGGCAAACCACATGCCTGAAGAGTCTTCCTGAATCCATTCACACTGGACAGACATTTTAATGGCAACATATCATATAGCCTGCAGATAGATGCTTGTCTTTCACGTCGGCAAACAGCAAAAAGAAACCGAGTCACGTCTTTCCCACCCTGCAGACATTGATCGGCTGACTAATGTTACATCCTACTTGTTTCTATTCCTAGGACAGAGCTTGCTATGTTGGGGATATAATCCTCTGATACCATAGGGTCCATCACAGTGAAGTCAGTGAGGTGGGCTCTGGCTCTTGTAGACAAAGGCTAAATAAATAGCAGATGTAGGATAAATAGAAGCTATGGTTAGGTCTTATGTGACACGTTTGAGCCTTAATAATACATGTCTCAATAATAGATTATAGGCATTTTAAAGACTTTTTTTCTTTTTTAAAAAATTCTCTGTGTGTGTCTGTGTTTCTGTATGTTTGCACAAGAGTGTGCATGTGCCTGTGCCTGTGACACATGAGTGTAAGTGCCCACAGAGGCCAGAAGAGGGCATCAGACCCCTTGAGCTGGAATTAGATGGTTGTGAGTCACCATGTGGGTGCTGGGAACTGAACTTAGGTGCCCCAAAGAGCAGCAAACACTCTTAATTGCTGAGCCATTCTTCTGGCCCCATCATTTTTTTCATTTGAGACTTACTCTCATTAGTCCATGCTGGCCTCAAAGGCATTCAGCTAAAGTTGGCCTTGAATGCCTGATATTTCTGCTTCCATCCCTGCCTCCTGGAGTATTGGGATTGTAGGCACATATCACCACATCTAGGAGTTTACTTCATTTTTAATTTTTAAAAATTAGTATCTGAACATGACTAAAGTTGTTCCTTTTGTGTCATTTACTCATGGCTTCTATTTTATGCTCTATGGGTCTGTTTTAATAGCTTTGACAATTAGGGTTAGTAAGTAAACATAAGAAAGGAGAGGTCTTTTTAGACGATACACACGCACATACACGCACACACAGTTTTAATCCCTAGGGATTTGAAATGGTTAAGTTGGGAAACCGTTCCTTAAGCAGACAAGAATCAGCTGTGGAGGTCAGTTGTCTGGAATGACTTCCAGCAAGACTCTGCTCATTAGGGCAAGGGAATGTTTCTGTGTCTTGCACACATTGCACCATCCCGAGGTGTGGGTCCTGTACTGCACTACATTGACATCTACAGGGAGGGGAATAGCACAATGGTTAGAACTCAATTAGATAACATCATGAAGCTAAGACACACTGTTGTCAAATTTGAGTGGGGAGTTTCAATGTGTTTCCACTCAAGCCAAATGAAGCAAACACTCAGGTATCAGGCAACAATTTCTTAAAAACACACTCTTCTGGGGAAAAAAGTGTCAGTGAGGGATTGTCTAGATCAGTTTGGCCTGTGGGCATATCTGTAGAGGAATGTCTTGATTACCTCAATTGTGGGAGGACCTGTTCATTGTGGGTGGCACCATTTCCGAGGTGTGGGTCCTGTACTGCATGAGTAAGCATGTGAGCAATTGCTCTCCATGGATGTGACCAGCCTCTGCAGGTTCCTGCTGCCTTGATGGACTTCCCTGCAGTGATGGACTAACTCGGAAATAACCCTTCTCTTCTAAGTTACTTTGTCAGTGTACATTATCACAGCAACAGGAGAGGAAACTGGACACATTTAAGCATCAGAAATGCAAGTTTTCTATTGTGAGGGGCACATTCCAGTGACCTCAGCCAATACACAGAAAATCGCCAACACTTGCTTCCAGGTTCCCCAGCAGCCGAGACAACAACTTATTTCCCTTTCACATATCTCTGTATTTTATCTCATTTACCCTCATTCTAGCTTTCTTTTTCCCTCCAACCCCACAGTTTTATGTAAGAGTTATTTGGTTTGGAAAAAACTCCCTGTGGGTTATAGGTATATTTAAAAAAAATTGACTTAAATATTGAATTTAAATTGATTAAATATTGGTAAAAAGCCAATAAGATTCCATGACCAAATTCCAAATGTGCCTCCCATATTTTCTTACTTCATAGTGAAAGCTTCACGTCTGTCTTTCTGAAAGGCAAATGAGTTTAAGGGAAAGGCTGGGGAAGGGCGTGCCCAGGAGGAAGAGAAGGACTTCCTCTAAGGGAAAGGCTGGGCAAGGGCGTGCCCAGGAGGAAGAGAAGGACTTCCTCTTGGGAAGTCACTCAAAGATGGCACTTAATGACCTTCAAAATGGCTCGTTTGAAAAATGAGAATGGAGAGGGCGTGGAAGGAGGGATGGAGACATAGTGGTCCAGGGATGTAACATGCTGATAAGCACGATGAGTATGCTCTGGAGGTCTAATGTTCAGGAGTGTGACTGTCGTCAACAGATTGTATTGCACATTTGCAGTTTGCTAAGAGGTGGCACCCTAATTCTTACAGAAGAGACAGAAAAGAGAGATTGCATGGCACGAATTAGTCTTACCACTCTCTGAGAGTCTTTCCACTCTAGGAGGGTTTGCAGATGAAGGGTTTATTTTAGCTCACCCTTTCTCCCTTAAGTTGCTTTTCGTCAGGGCATTTTATCTTAGCAATGGAAATGAAATAAAGACAAAATCCTTGTAAGAGATACTTAATATGAATTTCAGGGACTGTTTACCTTGTACTGTTGCAAGAAAATATGTTCAGGCCAAGCACTCGAAAATTGCTTAGCAGTTACATCCTAATTCTTAATAGGAGATGAGGGAACGGGGTGGAAAGGGGAGCAAGGGGAGGGGAGGGGTGTGAGGAGGGGCAGGGGGGAGATAGTGAGCTCATAAGCCAGGCAAGATGGCTCAAGCCTGCAATCCCAGCACTCAGGAAGCTGGAACAGGAGAGTTGTTTTGAGTTTGAGGCCAGCATGTGCTACACATAGATCCTGTATTAGGGGAAAAAAAGCATGGTGATGTGAGTTGACAGGCTTGGCTGTGGTGGCTTTCATATGCCATGCACATGGTAACTGCATCATTTCTACAGTGTCAACTGTATACCAATAAGGGTGGACTAGAAAGCAAATGTATTTGTGTGGATAATCTACCAATCAGTGAACCCTATGCCAAGACATTGGTTCACCCTTGAGCCTGTCCGAATGTCCCTTGCCAAGGCCTCTGTAGAAGAGAGACTGTGAGAAATGACGCAACCCGACAGAGGGACAACATAGGTGAACACTTCTGGGGTTCTGGCCACACCCTCCTGAAGCAGCACTGACCAGCGCTCCACAGTCACAGACTTCGTCTCCTTCCAACACGCCGTTCCCACAGACTTCCGCCTTGTAAGTCGGTTGGAGCCTCAGCTGGTTCTGAAGACAATGGGACTTTTGATTTGAGATAAAATCGGAAAAATCCTCCATGCTGCAGTTACTGAAGGACTTGATGCCACTGTAATGACTAGAAAGAGCCCAAGTGTCACATGGCCGTGTTCAGAGCTCCCACAGGCCATCTACCCTCAGAATAGCAGCAGTTAGTCGGGAAGGAAGCACTACACGGAGCATTCAGATCTGTGCAGAGGAAGTCGGTTGTTCGAGAACGTCTGCTAAATCCTTTATTAGAATAAGTAGCACAAAATTTTACTGGCGTTTATGTGGCAAACTTTGGGTGACGTTGGTCTCATGGTTTAGTGTCTACCTTACATATTACTTCATTTCTTAAGTTGTTGCTTCCTTTTGCTCCTAGAACTGCTGAACTTTGAAACAGCCCCACCTTAAGAACGGCCAGCAGTTTTTCTCTCTCTTTATCCACACTTGGTCAGAGGTGATTTCCCCCAAGCCGGTTTTGTAGTTTTTAAATAACTCCTACATCTCTTATCGTCTGCCTTAAAATCTGAACTCCGTAAGTCTAGTAAGCAACTCCAAGTATGCATGTATGTGTATATGTGCATATTAATATGTATACAGGAGCACGCGTGTGCGTGTGCGTGTGCGTGTGCGTGCGCGTGTGTGTAGGACAGCAGTCAACTTCAGGTTTATGTGGGGCCAGGCAGGGCAGGGATCCTGGTGGACATGGATTCCTGTGCTGTAATACTGACTTAGGCCTTTGGTCAGGACAGTAACACTGCACATTCAGAGACAAGCAAGCGTGGTGAAGAAGCATCTGGAGTTATTCAGACTGAACACAAAACCCAGTTGACGTGCTGGGTCACTGAGCTTCACCCTTACTAGATTCGACCAACCATGGATCAAAATAAAGTACTGGGGAGAACTTGTACCTGCCGAAAGAGAACAGACCGTTTTCCTTGGCCCTGCCTCCTGAACAGCACATCCCAAACAGACATCTTCCTAACACAGACT